TGGGCGGGGCGGGGCGGGGCCCGAGGTGGGCGGGGCGCGGCTGGAGGCCTCCGGCGCGGGCGGGGCCCGAGGTGGGCGGGGCGGGGCGCGAGGTGGGCGGGGCGCGGCTGGAGGCCTCCGGCGCGGGCGGGGAGCCGGAGGCCGGAGCTGAGGCGCGGGGCGGGGCCTCCTCAGCGTCCGGGCCCGGCGCGGACGCCGCTGGCAGCCGCAAGAGCCGCGGTCGTTGGGGCGGTTGCGGCCGGCGCCTTCTCCACCTGCGCTCCCTTCTTCGCCTCAGCAGCGACTCCAGCCCCAGCCGCCCTTCCAGCCCACGGCGTCGCCGCTGGCGCCACCGCCCGACCCGCAGGCCGCCGCGGGCCGCGGAGCCCATGAGGGCGCGGGCCCCGCCGCCGCCTTAGCGGCGTCGCCGTCGTCGCGGAGCGTCCCGAGCCGGCGCGGGCATGGCCGCGGCATGAGCGCGGAGCCGCCGCCGGAGCCGGAGGACAAGGCGGCGTCGGAGCCCGCGGCGGCAGCCATGGCAGAGAAGCGCCCGGGCGGGCAGGCCGCCGGCTGCATCCCGGTGAGCGCGGGGGCGGGTCCCGGCCCGGGGTCGCGGGGCGCCGCGCGGGGCCTGCGTCCCCGGGGTTTGCGGGCTCCGGGCCTCGGGAAGTCCTCCCCGGGCCGGCCATCGGACTCCTCCCCGGGCTTCCCTAGCGCCGCGGCTCTCGAGACAGAACTCGAGGGGGCTCATTGTTTGCGACAGCGCTAGACCCCGGGCCCCGGGCGTGAGGAGCGTGGCCCTTGCAGGGATCTGCAGACGGGGGCTGGCGGTGCCGTTTCCGCGGCGCAGTTCCTGGCCGCGCCTGCGCGGACGTGTGGGGGCCTCAGGCGGGAACTTGGAGGTGGAGGCTGGGCGGCACCTCCGCGCTTCCTGCTCCCCCGGCGGCCGCGCGGGTGCGGGGCGGGATCTCGGGGCAAAGCTGGCGAGGCCCGGCCCGAGCGGAGCGTGTGCGGGCGGCTCTCGCGCTGCGGCGCTGCGCCGGGTGCGGGGGGCGTCCGAGGCCGCGACCCCCCTGGCACGGGCCCGGCGGCACAGGCCGGTTTCTGTGGTGGAGTACTCCGTACCGGCCTCGTCAGGAGTACTGAGAGCCAGGCATTTCTTAAAGACTCCGCGTCGGGGGCTGGGGGTCCGTCTAGGACGGGAAGTGTGGGAACGCTACAGTGGGTAGGAACTGACGCAAAGAACGCTGGAAGTTTTGGGAAAATTAAGGGTATGCAGTCAGCTTCACATTTTCGCTTACATGTCTGTATTTGCGTTTAAAAACGCTACGTGATTATTCCTTGGTGATGTGAGTCCCCGCCGGAATTGGGAGGGTGGGGGACGTGGAAGGAACAGGAAGTGGAGCGCCGCCGGAAGAGCTGGTTTCCAGCCCTGGCTCCCTGAGAACCGGCGCGCGCTAGGCAAGGCCCCGCCGCTCCGCGCCTCCCCCGTGGCCGGAGAGCTGGCCATGTGGAAGGACCCTCCTGGCCCCAGTGGGTCCCAGTTTTTGAAAAAGCGTTGGGAGTTCATTTCTTTCCTTTTTTTTTTCTTTTTAGGATTTTATTTATTCATTTGAGACACAGCGAGAGAGAGAGAGCATGAGCAGGGAGAGAGGCAGAGGGAGAAGCCGGCTCCCTGCCGAGCAGGGAGCGCGGTGCGGGGCTCGATCCCAGGACCCTGGGACCATGGCCTGAGCCGAAGGCAGGCGCTGAACGACTGAGCCCCCCAGGCGCCCCAGAAATTCCTCATTTCAAAGATAAGCTTTCCATAAAGGGAATTTTATCTTCAGTGGGGAAGGAAATTCCAGAGAATAAGTTTTTCTCGTTTTGTTTTTGATTATTTAAAAAGTAGACCTGTCATCTTCCTCCCCCTCTAAACTAAACCGAACTGCCAGCGCCTCCCCCTGTCTTGGAATGGATGGACCATAATTACTAACCAGAGGCCACGCCAGTAACGTGAGAGGTAGCCGCCCTCATTCCTTGCCATGCTCACAACATCCAGTACGTCCTTAAGTCTAACTGATGTTACTGGGCAAAGATTTTAGGTTTTTATTCTCTGCATCTCTGTGGTTCATTTCCTCAGCATTTTGACTTATCTTTTGGGACCCTGGCTTCACCTCACCATTGGTCTGCTGTCCACAGTGTTGATCAGTGTGATCTAACATGTAAATATAATTACTACTGTCCTTAAATTTTTTCATTGGCTCGCCTTGGTTTATAGGATAGAAAAAATAACCTGGCAGGTTGAAGCATTATAGCATAGTGATTAGGTGAGCATGCTCAGAATCCCAGTTCCCACCTTTTATTACCTACATAACTTTGGGCAGGTTACATAATATCTCCGAATTAATAATAGTATTTACCACAGAGGATTGTGAGGGTTACTGCAACCTTGCACCCAGTAAGTTCTCAATAAATATTTACTGTTATTAGTTCTCAATATGTTTGGCATGAATGATTGGCCAGAATGTATAGGTGATCCCTGACTGTCAGTCATTCACTAAAAATTAAAGTTGGTAATTTTATGCACTTAGAGCTAGAACTTTTGAGGGATAGTTACTCAAGGAAACTTAGACTCTTTATTCCCTGTTTCCTTCTCCTGTGGACCCTGATGCTAACCTAATTTGGGCACAAGTACATTCCTGCTCAGTCTTCCCTTGTCTGTGAGGGTCCATGGAGTCAGTACTGATAAACTGCTGCAAAACTGACTTGAGTTTTCTGATGCTTGCTGTACTTAGTGAGTGACTAGCATGGGCAGGTGGCACAGTTCAGACACTGGTGCTTTTTGGAATGTGTGGTGGCTGGGAAAGCAAGTGAATGCCTTTAATCATATAGGTTCATGTTGTATGCTGGTACCCCAAAATTATGCATCTTTCCTGCTTGCACTTTCTGTCTAGTGTCACTTCCCAGGAGCTATGTTCTGCAGCCTCTGTGACTTGATTTCATTTTAATGTACTGGAATTTCCTTATAGCTTGAGGCCAGTGATACTCATGGTTTCAGGTTCTTAGATGCTAATAATTACAGGGAAAACTGCCCATACACAGGGAACCTGCCGGCAGCTTTTCAACCTTGTGTGGCACGGAGATGTATTGACCTGAAAGAGATTGGCACAGAGATGTATTGATCTGAGTAATGGAAGGGAATCAAGTATTTACTTCAAGAGATCATTGCCTCGTAGAAAAGGGATGTGTGTTTAGCGAGTAAGTTCTTGTTTTATTTCCTCTTTGCTCTTTCCTTCCCTAATCGCATGTACAAACAACTTGAGATGTTTCATCAGAATTGTTTGCATTATCATTAAATGTATATTTTCTGTCATACTTAACCTTCATAATCAGGTAAGGGGAAAGGTTTTGTTGTTGTTTTTGGCATCATTTACCCGTGAGCATCTGATGAAAATTAAGGATTTGCTGCAAAGAAGACACAACTAAGTTTAGCATACTATTTCAGGATGTTCTTGGACTCCCAGAAGCCAATGCTTGGTAACGGGTTAAGAGCCCTGATATAAGGCCTCTCAGGATCATTGTTGTTCTGGTGACATTTGATGTCTCTTAAGTTGATTTTCCTAAGACTGTTTCAGAGGTTTTCTGTAAAGGCTAATTTTAATTCTGATTTTTGAGAACAAGAATATTATTTATTATGTAGGCAAAATGGAAATAATACTGAAGAGTAGCTTCAGGTAAAAAAAAAATGCTAAAATGACTCTGTTATGTTTATAAAAAGATAAAAGAGGGTCTAGGGACATATTAGGGAAAATTAACTATAAGCTTTAAATTCTTTCTTGACACTGTTAGGGACCAGTATGATCATTTCAATAATAAAATAGTACTGGGACATTGGCATAGCAACCTCTCAAGTAAATTCTAGCAGATAAGGGGAGAAACTGAAAGCATTTGTGAGCAGTTGATATATTGCAATTTAGAAAAGCCAATACGTGGGCTTTCATAGAAACATTTACTATATTTCATATTTAGAATTATGCAAATTTCTAGTCAGCTCACTATCATCACGGCTAGCCTTTGTCATAACACAGGCTTATCCTTGCTGTTGTGTTGTTCTCAGGCCTGGCATAGGCAGGATTTTGTAGACCTTGCTTCTTAGGATATTTGAGCATCCTTTTCCACCATTTTTCTTACTAGATTAAGTCTTTGAAGATAGGGACTACAGCTGTGTATCTTTTTTTTTTAATTTTATTATGTCAGTCACTATACAGTACATCATTAGTTTTTGGTGTGGTGATCCACGATCCATTGTTTTCTTTTCTTTTTTTTTTTTTTTTAAAGATTTTATTTATTTATTTGAGAGAGAGAGAATGAGAGAGAGCACGCGAGGGAAGAGGGTCAGAGGGAGAAGCAGACTCCCTGCTGAGCAGGGGGCCCGATGTGGGACTCGATCCTGGGACTCCGGGATCATGACCTGAGCCGAAGGCAGTTGCTTAACCAACTGAGCCACCCAGGCGCCCACGATCCATTGTTTTCGTAGAACACCCAGTGCTCCATGCAGTGCGTGCCCTCCTTATTACCCATCACCGGGCTAACCAATCCCCCCACCCCCTCCCCTCTAAAACCCTGTTTGTTTCTCAGAGTCCACAGTCTCTCATGGTTCGTATCCCCCTCCGATTTCCCCCCCTTTCATTTTTCCCTTCCTTCTCCTAATGTCCTCCATGGTATTCCTTATGTTCCACAGATAAGTGAAACCGTATGATAATTGCCTTTCTCTGCTTGACTTATTTCACTTTACAGCTCTGTATTTTTTAATCTGAAATAGTCTTTTGGGGATGATCAATAAATATTAATAAAGAAAGAAGTCATTCAGTGTTGCTTTAAGCCAGTTTTTAGGCTTATTAATGATAGAAGCTTGTCTTTTACTTTTTTTTTCTTTTGTCATTTATATAATATGCTTTGGCCTTATAAAACAAGTTGGGAGGGGGGCGCACCTGGGTGGCTCAGTCGTTAAGCCGTCTGCCTTGGGCTCAGGTCATGATCCCAGGGTCCTGGGATCGAGCCCCACATCGGGCTCCCTGCTCTGCAGGAAGCCTGCTTCTCCCTCTCCGGCTCCCCCTGCTTGTGTTCCCTCTCTTGCTATCTCTCTGTCAGATAAATAAATAAAATTTAAAAAAAAATTGGGGGAGTTCTGGTTTCTTCTTTTCTCTGAAGATTTTGTGTATGGTAAGATAATTTTAGAACTTAATGGTTTTTAGGCTGGGGTAATGTAGTTGTATAACAATCGAGGTTTTCTTTTTTTTTCTTTTAAAGATTTTACTTATTTGACAGAGACACAGCGAGAGAGGAACACAAGCAGGGGGAGTGGGAGAGGGAGAAGCAGGCTTCTTGCGGAGCAGGGAGCCCGATGTGGGGCTCGATCCCAGGACCCTGGGATCATGACCTGAGCCGAAGGCAGACGCTTAATGACTGAGCCACCCAGGCACCCCAACAATCGAGGTTTTCTATTTGATTTTCCTTTTTTTCTTAGTAAGTTGTATTTTCTTAGGAATTTGTCCATTTCACCTTCAAATTAAATGGCATAAGGTAAGGTTGTTTGTA